TACTCTATCTACAGGATAGCCTAAAACACTTCCCTTGTTCCACTTTTTCAAGCCTGAGGATAAATACAGAAGTTTCTGTGGAATCCACATTGTACTAGAACCACGCTAAAGCGCGCCGTAACAACGAAACTTTTGTAATTGACCAACTTTTCTAATTGCTAAACAAAAAAAAAAATGGATGATACTAGTAGATTAGTTCCTGGTTATTTTTTATTAAATTTAGTTGCACCATCATACCCTGATCCTACGCATAAGCTAGTCTTGTAGTATCAAAAATATACCTAATACCATTATGGCTTAACATATTATTTCAAAAAATTACCAATGCAATTGAACCATCAGTCACATAATTAATTTTTTTCAGGAGACCATAGAACTTGTCTAAGTGACAAATAAACCAGGTTTAACATATTTTCTTTGGCTTAATGTCGAGTCCTAAAAGATGGAAATTTCGAGTAACCTTCACAGTTAGTATACTAATAATGATGGAAACACCCGAAAGAATGTTATGGACTTTGTTTTAAAAAGAAATAGGGTAAGTGGTACCACTGATTAACGTATTTCACCTGATGCTTCATTTCCGCGTCAAAAAAATTATCCGAGATGAGACACGGTATTGCCATCTATGAGAATTTGTCACAGCAGTTTAATATATATTTGATACTTTGAAAAGGTTAGTGTCTCATAGATGGCGCTGTCTATATGAGCATATCAACTTTAGAGAAAAGTTATTCAGGACATTTTTTGTTCAGAATGACCCAAAGATCTAAAAAAAAAATATTGTGGGACGACTTTTGAGATGCGCCATATATAGGTATCTCTCTAACCATCTGTATTGTAACTTTTTGAAATGTTAAATCTGTTATATCTCGAACACTCAACTTTGGAGGAGCCTTTTTTGATCAGAAGCTAAAATCACTGCGTGTAGCGAAACAACCAATTATTAAAATTTGTTTAAAAATTGTCTAATCAATTTTTGTTGCATTTTGGGCCTGGTAGAAGTAGATTCCTTAAACGGGGTCCTATTGAATGCGGTGTGTGCACAAAATCGAATCACAGTGTTATTCCGAACAGATGGAAATACACTACCTGGACTATAACCACTTTTACTCGTATGCTTACAACCACATACGTGTAGTCGTCTTTCGACGTCAGCATTGTCGCTTCTCAGACTGATGCTGCACGTTATTACCTTACCGTGGTTGAGAAATTCTGAGAATACGAAATCTCAGTGATAATTAAGAGGAAGGTTGGGGGCTAGTATTTCCTAGGAAGGTTGATGTCATGTTTAAGAATGAAGAATTTTCTTCAAAAGGAAAATGAAGTCCGTTTTTATTATACTTCTCAGGGAATAACTGCAATCCTACTTGTCAACATGGCCAGAAGGACAGGGTAGGACATCTTGAGGAATTCTTAAATCAATTTTATTAGACGTGCTATACTAGAGGTGCATGCCCTTTAGTTTTCGGCGATTAGTCACCCAGTCATAAAGCCAGACAAAAATCACGTAGCACGCCGAGTGACAGCCAGACAAATATGCGATTGGCAAAGATAAACATACTGTTAACGATCTTGCTGACGTACTTTCGCCATAATGAATTATAAAAATGATCGCCTGATCATTGATAAAAAGTCATTCGTTCCAATATAGCGTAGCTATAAGTCATCATTTCGATAGGTAGATAGAGCGGAATGTTCGTTGTGACGTAAGAACAAAGGTTGTATAATCGGCAATCGGGTGATCCTTGGAATTGCATTTGTCGCAAAGACAATGGTTGCCATTTCAAGGATTGTTGCGATGGCACTAATTTCCCTGCGAGGCACTAATTTCCCTGCGAGGCACTCGGGTTATCTGCTTTGTGTCGCTGTATAAGGATGATAAAGAATATTATAGGGTGAAGCGCCATCTATTGCCAGAATCGACCAGTGCGAGAGTGTAAATCAGCTATTGGTAGGAGATCAGTCACTGCTGTGGCCGCTATAGGCTAACGATTCTGGCGGTATAGTAGATGGGTTTACTCGCCATTGAACAACGAACTAAACATACCATGGACATCTGATTCGTATTTTTTTGGTAACTCATCAGCATGGTCAAGGCTTGGTCTATGGGATAAGGAACGAAAGCATGGCAACTGTCCTCTACCCGAGGGATGAGGTCTATCGAAATAAGTTAGCGCAAAGTGCCATCTATTACCAAAATCGACCACTGCGAAAATATACAGGCTGTCCAAGATAAGGATCCTATGCATGAGCATCTCAATACCCGTGGGAGATACAGCTTAGGTTAAATTAGGAAAAACTTGTGGTCTTTGAGGCGTTGAGTAACTCAAAAAAATGTCATGGCTTACTTAGATATTTGAGAAAAACTAAAATTTGGCCAAATCATTTTAATTTTTGTCTTATTTTAAGAAATATCAAAAAACTAGTGAAACTTTTGGCTCTTTAAAAGTTTTTGCTTGACGATTCCTTTTTGAGAAACCATCATCAAATTTTTTATACAGTCCGAAAAAAGTACACCCTGTACCTAATAGCATTTTTTATACGAACTCAACGATGTTATTTGTTTTCTTGGTTATAAGGGAAAATAGGTTTCTTTCTGATTTTTTATTTATTTTAAGTAGGCGTTGCAAGGAAATGCTTGACTTGACGTAAATACTTGTCACCGAGTATTATTATTGTGTATTGTTAATATTGCTTTGCCAGGCGGTTATTTAAGCAATGAAGAAAAGTTCGACATGCTGACGTGCTACATTTTGTACCACACAAATACTGCAGGATTATATCTTGATAAATTTCCCGAAAGAAGGCAGTCAAGTAAGACCATTTTCTTAGAGGACACTCAGAATAGTGCTTTACAAGCAATTGCTGAGAACTCTAAGGCCCGTATCGTCAGTCGTCCCTACAATTGTAGGGCGAGTTTATGGCCTCCTTGATTGTCATACTACTTTCTCTCCTTCAAAAATTTCTAGATTATACTTGCCCCGTGTCAGCGTCAGCGCTCCCCTATTGTGAAGATATGTTTTCTTTTTAAATTGTAGGAAATTTCAGGCTGATAAAACATGATATAACTCAAAAGCAAGCACAATTTGATGCAAAGAGATGTTTGTGACATAACCTCAAAATAGAGCGCTGACACGGAGAAGTACAAAACTATGACAATCAAGGAGGCCATAAAGGCGCCCTACAATTGTAGGGACGACTGACGATACGGGCCTAAGATATCAACTAGGCAAATTGAGAAAAATGTAATTCACAGCCCAATATGTTTTGCGTAGAAATAGATATCCCCCCTATAAATTCAGGATTTGCCAAGCACTCACACCAGGGGATAGAGAACGGCGTCAACATTTTTGTGAGTGGTACAAACAAACGTGTGAAGATTTTAATTTCCCTTCAAAAATATTATGCTTCGACAAGAGTATGGTCACTAATGATGGTATCTTTAATCGCCGCAACACTCATTACTCGGCTGAAGAAAATCTGCAGGTTAAAAAAGTATCCAGGCAACAAGAACGTTTTGGGTTTAATATGTGGTGTGGAAATCTAGGGCCATTTATTTACCTCAACTCATTACCTGCAGAACGGTACCTTCAATTGTTGCGACATGTTCTAGAACAGGGTTTCTAAAGCAGTGGTTTGCGAGGCCTAGGGGTTCACTAGCTATATGAAGGGGGTTCGCAAAAAAATTATGGTAATGGCGGAATTTGTCCTCAATATTTCAACACCGCCGCTACAACAATCCGGCAAGAGTTCTACTTCGGCGAATCGAGCGCACAGAGACCTTCCTGAGAATGCACTGGAAAGAACGAGACTAACGTCTGCAGATATAAAAAGGTCGCAGTCACGGAAGTACGAGTACAGTCGAACGCGCTTTGTGAGCCGTACGCATGTCGAACGTGAAATTAAATAAATATAATATTCTGTAAATTTAAGAAGGATAGTTGGTTAAAAATGGGCAGTTTTGTGAAGTCTGGCGAAAAGCCAGATGAGCAATCAACTACTGCTTCTTCTTCGGTTCCGTTTTGGGTCTAACGCATGGTAGCGATATTGAAAGTTATAGTGAGGTACAGTTGTATTCATAAAAAAAGCGTACACGAATTAGAGTGAGAGGAAACCTTAACCTTATTTGCGTAAAACCGGCTTATCGCATGTTAAAGGTTATTAAAAATGCAAAGCATGGGCGTCGGGCATTAGTTCAATACAGTAACAAAAATGTATTTCTTTATTTTACATCTTAACAGTTTTATAAAAATTACAATAGAAACACAAAACGATTAACAAGAATAAATAAAATCTAATATTTGGTCATATATCCCTGTTTTTCTATTACTTGAGCCAGTCTATTCGGAATTGACTGAATTATATTTGATACAATATTTGGATCAAGCTCTTCCCAGCACGCATGTATTATTTCCCATAAATCTTCTGAATTTTGTGGCCTAAAATTTCGATTATATATTTTTTTTACGATTATACCCCAAATATTTTCGATTGGATTGATATCGGGACTATAAGCGACCCAAGGCAGCACTTCCACATTATGGGTTTGAAACCAGTGGGTTACAGCATTGGCCGTATGAACTGGACAATTATCTTGTTGAAATATGAACGTATTATTGGGATATATTTGCTCAGCACTTGGAAACAATATGTTTTCCAAAATGTTAATGTAATTTCCGGCATTAAATCTTCCCTCTATTCGCCAGCAAACACCAGGTCCATGAACACTTATCCAGCCCCATACATTTACAGAGAAACGCCCAGGTCTAGAATTGAGGGGGTTAGTATATCGCTCTTCAAACCTGGTATTGTTTGGACGGTAAACACGAATTTGGCCGTTATAAGTCGACTGGAACGTCTTTTCATCAGTAAAAATGACCCTGTTCCAAAATTGAGGATTGCGGTATATATAATTTAAAGCAAAAAAATCCTTGATTGTCGCCGTTCTTCGTTAAGAAACATTTTTTTCGCAGCAGGGTGACATTTTAGTTCAGATTTCATTACTCTCCTGCTGGCGGTAGGTTGGAGGCAGGAAATGCTGTATCAATAACAGCATCCCTTACAGTTGCAAATGGATTATTTCTTAAATATCCCAAAAAAGCAGCATCCTGTTCAGGGTTGGTAAGTTTGGGACGACCTGAACCAATTTTCCTCTTTAGGGAATCTTCCTGTTCCCAGCGTTGCTTAATTTTCAATATGGTTTTTTTATTTCTATTATACAACTGCGCTACAGCACGGATTGACCATCCTTCTTCGATTCTTGATACAATTTGAGCCTTTTCAACTTCAGACAACTGACGAGGCATTTTTATTTTCTTCTGTCAAAGTTTATCAAACGTTACCACCACGCATTTTCGGAATGAATTACACCGACGTCAATGCTTTGCATTTTTGACAATCTACGACGTGTGATAACCTCCAATAAACAATCATTTAGACAAGCCGGTTTTACGCAAATAAGGTTAAGGTTTCTAATTCGTGTACGCTTTTTTTATGAATAGAACTGTACCTTCTCGCCAGAATAAAAGTAATGAGAAAATAAACAAGCATTGTAATGAAGTCCTGGCCAACAGTAGTTTAAAACTATCGCTTCTTCGTCGGCATCTTGAGACAAGACATCCTGATTACAAGGATAAACCTATTGAATATTTTAAAAGGAAATTGGAAGGTAATAAGAATTGTAGTGTTTCTTCTTTCCTGACGGCTTTCAACGCATATAGTAAAATGGCTTGAAGCATCATTTCGACTTAGTTACAGAATCGCAACATCTGGACAAGCTCATACAGTGGCAGAACATTTGAACGGACCTTGTGCTAAAGACATCGCAATGTATATGCTTGGAGAAAAAGCGGCAAAAAAATTGACATTGTGTCCTTAACAAACAGCATAGTGTCATGGAGAATTAACGATTTGGCGAACAGTGTTGAAAGTGAACTTTTGAAAAGAATAAAATTGAATTATTTTGCTATTCAGCTTAACGAGTCGACCGATGTAGCAAACTGTGCAATATTGCTCGTGTATGTTAGACAAATTTCCATTCAAGAAGATATGTTATTTGCAAAACCACTGGTGCAGCAATTTTTAACCGTATCAATGACTATTTTGAAAAACATGAAATCAACTGTCATTTTACTTAGGTGTATGCACAGATGGTGCAAAATCAATGACTGGAACATGTTCAGGTTTTGTGGCACGAATAAAGAAGATCAACGAGAATATAGAATGGACTCACTGCTATATTCATAGGCAAGCATTGGCAGGTAAGCGTATTCCTGCAGAGTTAGCCAGTACTTAAGGCGAAGCTGTAAAAGTTGTGAATTTTATAAAGTCCCGTGCTACAAATTTTCGTCTATTCCGTGAACTTTGTGAGGGCTTGGGAAGTCTCCAAGTCTCTTTATTACTTCATACAAAAGTTAGGTGGCTTTCTCGTGGCAAAGTTTTGACACGCTTGTTTGAATTGAAGTCTGAAGTTCATGCATTTTTTCTTCACCATCTATTTCATTTGTCCGCTTCTGAATCCGACACTCTGTGACTCCAAAAACTTGAATACTTGGCCGATATTTTTTCTAAATTAAATGAACTAAATGTCTTGACAAGGTCCAGGAATCACCTTTTTCAATGTTTGCGATGTTAACATCTCAAACAGCTTCAATTAACGTTCAAAGAGTATTTTCCTAATAAACCTGGATCAAAAAACTGGATACGCAATACTTTTGAAGGAGATATAATTTCTAACACCTCTTTATCTTTATTGGGAAAAGAAAGGCTCATTGATTTATCCTCTGACAATTCTCTAAAAGCTGTTTTTGCAGATCATTCTCTAATAGACTTCACGCTCAATCTTACACACTCCACAGGTATTGAGATCCCCATGCATAGGATCCGTATCTTGGACACCCTGTACAGTAGCTATCTATTGGGACTGTAAAGATCTCAGTTTGATAGACGTTTCAGAATAGATCGGCGCATCCAACATAATACAGCAAGTATCAGATATTACACTCTGCAAAATCTTGAAGAAAGTAGTGTGAGCCAATGAACCATCCATCACATATCACTCTGGGTGAAGAAATCCGGTCAAATGTTAAATATAAATTTAATGTGTGATTTATAACCTTGCATTTCCTATACAGTTGAGATAATTGCCCACACAGTAAATGCACATTATTGCATTTCAATCATCTATTCGACATCCATTAACTGCACTGTATACACAGACATTTGAGTGCTTCATTCATTTGGTTTAAACGTTAACAATTCCGTTGATTCGTTAACAACGCTAATTATAACTATAGGGGTCAATGATTATATTATCCATCTATTTTGAAGTAACTCGACTCTCACCAAGAGGATCTCAGAAACGGTAAGATATACGAAGATCGTTAAATGGCAGCAAAGTTGCGTACTCATGAAATGTTCGATCATTCCATGAAATGGTAAATTCTACGAGATATCTACAACATCTCCACATCGACAATGCAAGAGTTTTTTGAAAAATCTAGAATCCACTTGGATCATCCACTTTATAGCCCTGCCTTGACGCCACGCGATTTTGGCTGCTTTTCGTTTGGAACACGTGTGATTCTGTTTAGAATGGTAATGGGAGCGGGAGGGGTATGTTGAATATGGAAATTATTTTGGAAATAATAAATAGTTTTTCCATATATCACTTATGCCAGGGACTACGTAGTCACGTGACTTCTTGGACATACCAGGTATGTACATCGCCCTGTGTAACCACTTGTATTGTTCTGGTTGCTTTACTAATGACTCGCAAAGTGTGTGTCCTGCTATGATTGTTTGCTGTAATAAAAAAAGAAAGTATACAATAGCCGGATTCAATCCATTAACTTTGTTCTTGAAGCACTACAAGTCGTCTGAAACTTTTTTACACCACGGCAGCACCACGATCTAGTGTAAAAAATTACGCCAAGTAGGTTGACTCTACACTTTCCACGCAACGCCGTCGTCAGTTCATAAAGAGTTATGCACACGTTAGACCCTATCGAAAAATACATCGCCAAATACCTTATAGTCGTATTCTAGATAGAGGATTAACTATCCTATGCTTTCGTTCATTGCTCCAGAGACCTAGTATTGGCCATGTTGTTGGGTTGCCAAGAAAGCACCAAACAGGTGTCTGTGAAGTGGGGAAGCGTCCACGTAACCATGGTTACCATTGGTAACAGTTAAAAATCTTAAAAATAAATATTTTATGACTAAGTACTGTGAAATAAGTTCATTTATTTGTTTACCAACAGCGATATGTAATAGTAATTCAGTAAATAGCCTCGACTTGGTTGTCGGTTGTTACTATTTTCATTAATGGATACACCTGGTAGTCCGTCGGGGACCGTCGGCACCGGCTCGTGTCTTATCGCGGTCGCCCGAGTGCGTGGGGCGCTGCGACTTTTATGTGGGCTTGTTACCATTTTTTGATTTGGTTACTCACTTCTCACTCATTAGTAGCCGTTTTGGTTACCGGCTGTAGTGTGTGTGCAATTAAACATGGATGAGTATCGCTGCGTAATCGATCAACTACTGAAAAGTCATTCTCCTTGTAAAGTTTTTAGGAAAAAACGGAGATCATTGAAAATGGAAGACCAACACCTATTTTAGATCATTTTAAAAAGGAATAAAAAAACGTAGTTTGATAGTTTAAATTAAGTTGGTATATGGAAACTCTTGGTTATGTGGTTGCAAAAAACAAATTGAATTGTTGGCGATGTCTTGTTTTATACAGAAAAAAATGGGGGGACCAGCAGCGAAGTCAACGATTTAAATAGTTTTAGGGCTCTAAAGAGGAGACATGAAATTTCTCCGTTACATGTGAGATGTGTAGCCAATTTAACTCAGTTTGGCAAAACAAGAATCGAAAGTTGTTTTAACCAAGCTTTTAGGCAGTACACTTCTAGATACCCTTTGTTTTTTGGCAAAACAGGAATTACCGTTCATTTTGAAGGGGATGACTCTGACAATAGAGGAAGATACAGGGAATTGTTAACATTCATTGCCAAAAAAGATCAAATATTTTCCGAACATCTAGAAAGGTCGACTGTTTTTTCGGACGGCTTGGATTAGTCATAGCATAAGACGATGAGGTATATCAAGTGCCCCAGACGCTCAGTCCAGGAATGTATACCTTAATTTAAAAATAGTTTAAATAAAATACCTAAAATAAGCAAAAACTTATATTTGGGAGGTTCAAAATAAACTTTTTTTAATAAGATTTTTCACATCTGGTTTTGGTAACAGTTTAGTAAAATTCACGCGTCGCCACTGTGTCTGTCGTTAGCTGTCTTTGATGGGACAGAAAACAGCTAGTTACGAGAATGTATAACAGGGAAATTAAACGGATCTAATTCATTAAACAGGATCATACAATTAGTCCATAGCATCATTTCTCTGCCCTATCCGTAGACCGACTGTTCGGCACCGTCGCGTCGTCTCTCCCCAATATCTGAAAGCATGATGCGCCGCACACGGCACAGCGTCACAGCGCACCAGTCATGCATGACTCATACGAGCACCAGCACGCCGGCCGCGGCCATTCAAGTTAACAGACGCAGGGATGTTTGTCGAAAACATGTTTCTATCGCTCTAAATTCTAAGGGAAAATGTACAGGACAACCTATGATGTGAAATATGCCTAATGAGTACGTAGATTTATGGGGGTTGGAAGTGTATTAATATACTAACAGCAAAAAATTGCGATACACCCTACCCCACCTTCCAATTTCTTCCCGTAAAAATTTTTCAAAAATGATTAGGATCCTCAGAAACATCTAAAGATGATTTTTATTTTTTCGTTTCTGGCCTTTTTCTCTGCCACCACTTAACCGATCTTCAAAAACTACAAAGCTTTTCTATCGCATAGTAGTAACCTTGTGTGAAAATTTCATTGAAATGCAAGCGGTACTTTCCAAGTTATAGACTGACCAAGGATTAGCGGACACACAGACAGAGACGGAAATGGATGATGCACATGTCCTATAATATCCGTAACACGTACTATCTCAATTTTCGAAATTTTTCTCGATTACAATACATACTTCCTCGTGAAAGGCCGTGGAAAGTAACAAATTAAACTCATTTTGTTTATTCATTTTTGAACTCCTTGAAGTTTGTAGAGCTGGGAAAATCCTCCACAGGTAGACTGTTCCACATTATCGGTACCATAGAAACAAAGGGATGTTCCTACCGGCCAGTTCTAGATGTACAAAGCTCGACCTAATTATAATGAGAAGCAGGAGGCTAGCAGTTTTAAGTGATGCGGCGCCACTATAGAGAACAGCTCAAGAGAACA